AGTTTAGTCCACCACTTGACTCACCACTAGCCCACTTGCCCACTTGCTGACCTTCTAGAAGGCTACAACTAGGACTTCTAGACTTCGCTAAGACTTCTATTTGACAGACCTACAGATCAAACCCCTGCTACCTATGGACCTATGACAGCCTACCAACTGTTTACGAATACACAGGTCACGGGTTCAACACTCGGGGTGTACACAGGGTACTGTACACGGGTGGGGCGAGGTCTAGGGATCGAGCCCTGGGATCTGAATCTGCTACTGCCAAAAGGTGAAAACCGTTTCATTCCCGCCGTCCGAAATTCGAGGTCCTCCGAGAATATATCAGTCCAAGGCAGGACCTTTACCCTTTCTATCACGCTCATAGGCCTTAACTATGTCGAGAGTTATTTCTAGAAGTTCTGTTCTAGTGAACCAGCGGTCGTCTTCCGGTTCTTGGTAAGCAAACCGGACCTTATACTGTTTCTATGGACGACCTCTACCTCCTGTTCTAAAGACATCTTCATCTACAATGCCGTCAATGTCATAACTTCCATCCATATTCGGGGGGATCATGGATCTTCTGGAAGGGAACTGTTGACTTGTGACACACGACAACAACTTTGAAGCATGGAAAACTGGGTAGGTATGGAGGTATGCTGGAATCTCTATAGTGTAGGACGGTCCATCCTCTCCGCCCTTGACTTCTAGAACCGGCCACGGTCCTCTATATGCAGGTAGCAACTTCTGCGAAATGTGCTCCTCAGGTGCAAACTCTTTAGACTTGACCCAGACTAAGTCGGCTACTTGAAACTGCGAGGGGCGACGGTGCTTATTCGCCTGTTCTATCATTCTGTGTTGGGCCTTCCTGAGGTTCTCAACAACTATAGCTAGCTCCTTCTCGTGCTGTATCGCGAACTCCCTAGTTCCGGGTGGTAGCCTGTGAATATGATCCTGGTTCAATCCTTCGAACGGTCTGCGTGGTCTAAAGGACTTGTGCAGCTCATTGGGAGTGCGACAGGTGGATAGATGCACGCTGTTATTGTATGCACTAGCTACCTTAGGCAGCATGTCATCCCAATTGATCTGGTCAGGTCTAATGTACATGCACAAAACTTGTTGTAGGATCTTGTTCATCTGTTCTGTTTGACCGTTGGTCTCTGGATGAAGGCCAGATGACATTAACAACTTAGATCCGTAAACTCTCATGAGTTCTTGCCAGTTCTGGCTGGTGAAACGACTATCTCTATCGCTAACTATGGATAATGGGATTCCGTTCTCACTAACCCAATGATAAAAAAACTTCTGGATAACTAATTATGTGCGTGCCTCTGCAGGCAAAGGAACAGAAACAGCATACTTGCTAAATCGGTCAACTATGACCATGACTTGGCTCTTACCATGTCTACTCTTGACTTGGGTATCCATGAAGTCTATGGACACTGAGTCTCCCAGCTGATCAGGAATAGGCAAGGGTCAAAGAAGACCTAGAGGGGCACGCGTAGTGGTCTTGTTCCTCTGGCAAACTTTGCAACTGCGAACATACTCTATGCAGTCATTCTTCATCCCTGGCCAGGTGTATGCACGCATCAGATTGACTAATGTCTTTTGCCAACCAAAGTGTCCCTCGATGTCATGGCATTCCCCTAGGATCAGACTGCGGATTTCTTCATTGTTGGGAACGCATAGGCGGTCGAATACATCCATCTTCTCAAACAGCAATCCTTTTGTAGTGCGGTAGTGTGGTTTGGTCTCTGGGGCCTCCTTAACTCCCTTGAGGAGGTCACTATAGATAGGGTCCTGCGCGTACGCCTGTCGGACTTTCTCTTGCATGTCCTTTCCTGTGTCCAGATAGTGCACTATAGCTCCAAAGTAGTATGATCTCCTACTTAGAGCATCCGCAACTACATTGTACTTGCCCTTCACTGGCTTGAGCTCAAAGTCGTACTGGTCTATCTCAGCGGCCCACCTAGTTAGCTTCGGTGTCATCTTGGCCTGGGTCTTTAACCATCTAAGCGTCTCATGGTCAGAATATACTCTGAAGTGCCTCCCAAGCAGGTAATGCTTCTAGTGCTCTAGAGTCTGCTTGAGAGCATAGAGTTCTCTCTCGTACGTGGAGGTAGCTACCTTCTCTGAGGGCATCCTCGCTGACATGAACTCTACGGGTCTGTAGCCATTGCCGTCGTCCTGCTGTAACACGGCGCCTATCCCATATTGACTCGTGTCCGTGGTGACGACAAATGGCAAAGATGGATCTGCAACTTTCAGGACAGAATATTCTATTAACGCGCGTTTTAGTCTCCTTAGCGCAGACGTACAGTCTTTATCCCATTGCCAGATTGCTTCTTTCTTAAGCAACCTGCGCAAGGGAGCGGCGATAGTAGAGAAGTTCCTTACGAACTTCCTATAATAGTTAGCTAGGCCTAAAAACGACCACAATTCTGCCAATGTGCGGGGCGTCCGCCAATCTCTAATTGCCGCTATCTTACTGTCCTCTGGCTTAATGCCATCTCCGTCTAACACGTGGTCCAAGTACAGGACTTGTGTCTTGGCCCACTCGCACTTTTTCGAGTTGATCTTGAAGTTTGACTCTCTCAACTTCTCCAAGACCTGCCTCAGATGACCCTGATGTTCCTGGAGGGTCTTGCTGAAAACTAAGATGTCATCTAAATAAACTACTACAAACTTGTCTAACCATGGCCTAAACAGATCGTTCATACATCACTGAAACGTCTCTGGCGCGTTAGTCAGTCCAAAGGACATCACTATAAACTCATAGTGCCCATATCTAGTCCGGAACGCAGTCTTGTACTGGTCATCAGGATGAACTTTTATCTAATGATAACCGGACTTTAGATCTATCTTAGAAAAATACTTACAACCCTGCACCCGATCTAAGAGATCGTCTATCCTGGGCAACGGCTCAACATTCTTCATTGTAATAGCATTCAAACCCCTGTAGATTATACACATTCTCAGCTCTCCTTCCTTTTTGGGGACAAATAAAACTAGTGCTCCAGAAGGAGACGAACTGGGTCTGATCCAACCTTTCTCTAGGAGTTCGTCCAACTGCTTGCGTAGCTCCTCTAACTCTCTAGGGGACATCATGTAGACTGCTCCCTTAGGAGTTCTACTTCCAGGCTCTATCTCTATCCTGTGCTGGATGCGTCGCGACACTACTCCTGAACTCTTCCAGCAACTTGGCAATGGTTGGATCTGTGGATGTCACCTCTTCCTTAGCCTCAGTAACAGGTCTAACATAAACTACGAAGACCTGGTCCGCTAACTGCTCCTTTTTCATTAGTCGCGCGAACGAGGGAGTACAGAGACAGCAGTGTGCCAGAGTGTTATCTACACCTGACACATGAAACAGGCGGGTAGTCTTAACCTAGCTTGACGGACTAGGGAGCCTACACTCATGCTCTCTTAAGTGGAGTGTGGCCCCTGCTGCCTCTCCCCAATCCATTCCTAACATTATGTCAAAAGGAAGGTCATCCTGAACGAGGAGAGTCAGGGAATGAAGAACTTTCTCCACTTTCTCATCTTTCTCTAGGCGAAAGTACGCGTGGACTCCCTCTATGTAGTCCTCAACTCGCATTGTGCGGTTGTCTGCGAGGACACCGACTATGGGGTCTGCTAACTTTTGGACTTTTAATCCTAGCCTCAGCTTCTTCATCGCCCTGCAGTTAATGTAGCTACAGGTAGCCCCTGAGTCTATAAGGGCCCCTACTCTGCTTCTAAATACTTCTACATCTACTAAGATTAGTTGTCCCTTACTCTCCTTCTTCATTTTGGCCCAGGCTGGCATCCTCTCCTTTAGCTCTTTTGCCACACCTGTGAGGGACGTGCCTAGAGAGACGCTAACACAAGCAGTCTCTGGACGGCTAGCTAGGCACAGACATGCAACCTCTGCCATAGGCTCATGTGGTTTGGGAGTTTCCTGTGTGCGCGCGCTCACTTCCCCACATGGCCTTGAAGTAGGGGCAGTTGCGACCCCTACTGGCGGCTGCCTTTTGACTGCTGAGCAGCCCATCGGGACTGTCTATACTGAGGACAAAATTTTATTACGTGGGCCGGGTCACCACAAAACACGCACTGACCCAAATTCACGCGTTCCTGCCATACGCGCTGGTCCAAGCCCAAATCCTCCCAGGGCCTCCCCTGTGGCAAGCCTGGGTGCCATCCTCCTTGAGGTGACCTTCCACCTCGTCGCTGTGGGGACCGACAAGAACCTTGACGATTTGTCGGGGGACCTTGACCCCTACCTCCCAGTTGGCGGTTCCCTTGTCCGCCAACCCCCTGTGCGCCCCGTCCTCGGCCTCCCATGGCCTGACCCCTTTGGCCCTGGCCTCCTCCTCTACTTTGCGGCCGCCCTCCAGCCGCGACAACAGCATAGGACCTCTGTTGTCCCACACTGCTGTCCTCCTCCTCAAGGCCCCACTCAATCTGACTATATGAGACCTCATCTGTACCACCCTCCTCTAACGTAAGGATCATGTGATCCTTGGCCCTGACTTGGCCTGAGATGGTACGACCTTTCCACTTCTTCCCCTTGTCTAAGTCCTTATGCCAGAAAGTGGTAACTGGCATGGACTTGGCCTCAAACAGCACCACCTCTCTACTGAGCGCATCGTACGTCATGGTGGGTTGTTGGGATTTGTCAAAGAAGTGCCCACGCAGGGGCTTTGGCATGGCACGATAAAATAGTTGGACCAACTGGGACTCAGTCAACCCATGGTTTGAGACGGCCACCAGGTCGTCCATCACTGCCTTGAGTGCCTTGGCACTCCTCCACTGTCATGAGTGGATGGTTTGGATCTTCTCAGAGGCTCTAATGCCTCTGCGAAGATCAGCGAATCGCTCCCTAAGGAGCTTGAAGAATTGAGGGAGGGAGGTAACCTTGGAATAGGCGACCATGTTGTTTTCACAACCGGTCGCGCACGGGAGAGACCTAGCAAAACTAGTCGCTTTGTCCTTGAGGGCCTGGAAGGCTACCAGGACCTGATCGTCCTGTATGATATGCTGTAAGTAAACATAACTGTTTACACCAGCCTCCCAGTTATCGAAGTTCTCATCAGATTTCCCACCATAAGCATCGGGGAACTTAAGTTTGACTAGTTCCTTGCGAGGTCTGCCTCGCCCTCAGCAGCGGCTACTACTTTGGCGCCCTCAATGACACCCTCACAAAACTTCCCCACGTTGTCTCTCAATCGCCTGACTTCCCCTCCAACGTGGGTAACCATCTCGAGCGCAAAATCCTGAAAACCAGACCGCATGGCCTTCAAGGCTACCTCCCGAGCTCTATTGGCTTGGCGTTCCTCCATCCAAGCTGCGCTCAACACCTCTAGGTACCCCAACACCTTATCCCATTTGGCCTTGTCGTCTGCCTGAGCCTCCACTTCCTGCCTACAATCCTTCATCTTCGCCACCTTTGCGGTCAACCTGTTAACCTCATCCCTCCTTCTCTTCTTTTCCCTCTTCATTCTCAATTTCCACTCCAACTTTTTCTCCTCCTCTCTTTCTTGTCTTTTCAGGGGGTCATCCATTGCTGCTAGCTCCTGGGATAGCGTATCCCTCTCATCCTGGGGCACATAGAACTCTCCCTCCTCATCCTCCCTCAACGATAAATTAGTTATCCACTCGCTAATCTTCTTCTCCATCTTTGCGTCTTCATCCTTCTTCATGCCACTACTCCCCTCTCTTCTTTCAATACACATTCTTTCTTTTTCTTCTTCTGTTGCTGCTTCCTCTTCAGCAGCCTTTATCCTCTCTTCTTCCTCCTGCTGAACTCTCTTCATCGCCTCCTCCAGCTTCTTCATCTTCGTCGCCTGCTCCTCTACGATTGTCTTTAGCTTCGCCTGTTTCTGGAGCTCTTTCCTCTCTTTGTTTTCTCTCACTAAGGCGGCCATCTTCTCTTGTTGTTCCTGGTATAGGGGCTAGTGCTCTTCCCACTACACAAGTCCACCATGGTAATAGGTGCACAATCAGAACGATTCCACTCCTCACCACTTAGACCCTAACCCCCGACTGACAAACCTACAAACTCAATCTAAGGACTCATAGAATCCTGGCAGGGATCCTGCCAACTAGGGTCTCTAGCCTAGACCTAACTATGGTTGTCACTACTAGACCTGTTGCTGATCAGGAGGCATTTAAGGAGATCCCCCGTAACTCCTCAGGAATTATTTAACGTCACAGACAGGACGACGTGATCAGCAAATCTCTCAACACTTAGACGGCCTGTTGTGCAGCCCACAGCTCAGATTTTGGGCCTACCGTGCCACACCGAGCAGCCCGCCGGTCAGTAC